TGTGGAGAAGAACATGGGATTTACCCATTAAGCCCAAAATCAAAACATTTATATGGAGATGCTGGCATGATTTTCTGGGAATCAAAACAAAACTCAAACAGCAAAGAGTGGAGGGAGATGTGACTTGTTGTCGGCGTGCAACAGATAGAGAAGATCTGTAACATCTCTTCTTGAAATGTACCAGAGCAGCAAAAGTGTGGAAGATAGTTGGCCTGGAGTGGAAGAGGTTGCATCAACAATCTCTTACATTTCATCAATGGTGGGAAGACTTTGCTCAATCCACAAAGACCAAAATTACACAGATAGAGTGAGTCTTTCTATTTATCTTTTATGGTGGCGGTGGAGAACCCAAAATAATTGGATATTCATAGGAGAAATTCTTGAGGAACAACTACTTGTGCAAAAGGCAAGGTGTGAATGGTTGGAGTTCGAAGACGATCATCATGAGGTTATGAATGAAAGTGCCAACTGCATACAACACAAAGGTGAATTGACAGAAGATGGGAGCACAGGAGAAGGACATCATGCTGCTGAAGTCAGTGTCAAATGCTCACATTCTGAAGAACAATATCTGCAGGGCTGGGCTTTTAAACAAGGAGTGGGGATAGCTGAGTGGAGAATTCCCCATGGTCAGGTTAAGGTTGATGAGGAAGAGACCATATTAAATATAAGAACATGGCTTGGGCAAGGAGCTGCTGTAGGCTAGGACAAGGTGGTGCTAGTGTTTTAAGATAAAAGCCAATGTAAACGGTTACAAACTCATGCTAGATTTCCTTGTCATTTTAGTGTTGTTGTTGGAGCTATTTTGTTCATGTATTCTTTATTTTCTTCTTATTCTTTTGGTTAAGATGTTTGTGTTGATATTTTTTGACCGATGTGGTCTTGTAGGGGGACCTTCATGTAGAGTCCCTCGTTGGGTTTTCAGTAGTCGTGACGCTATTAAGGCCTATGTAACCCGTTGATTGCTCAAACTCTTGTATTTTGAGTTTTTTTTTTTTTCTGAAACGATAGATATATTATAGATCAAAAGCGCACAAATGTGCGAATACAAAGCAGCTTCTAGCTGAATGAAAGCAGCCAACAACTGAAAAATGGAAGGACAGGTCAGAAGACCGCCTAGAAACCCAACTAGCAACGTTAGAATAAGGCTCACAACTAAACAAAACAACTACACAAGCAACTAAAACAACTAAAAAGGCCTCAACAGGTTAATACCCGAGTGTCAGATCCCAACAGGATAATAAGGTGACACTCGGGTGCACAGAGGCCAACGACCCAAACAAAAAACACAAACCTAAACTACACGAAAACTGAAACAAAGATCTACCAAGCTAAGACAAAAAAACATAAAGGAGGACACAACCTCCCCCGCCTGATACATCTAGATATACAGCAGACAAACCGACTCCAAAGATAGCTCCAGAGCACGGAAACAACCAGCCGCCACTGCATAAGGCCTAGCAAGACGGGAACCCGTACCCCAGGACCAACCGAAGAGCTAGCACACACTCAATCACGTGAATAAACAACACGACTCGACTTCACTGAGTCAGTCTACCATAAACAGCACTCGCTCAACCCTGCCCGAATCAGCTGAGCACAACTAATCAGCCGAGCACTTACCGGAAGCAGCACCCTGACCCCAGCCGTAACTACGACCCCAACCGAGAACCCTCAAATCTAGCTCGACAAGGACGAACTGAAAGATTCTTCCGATCCCAAACAAAATAGAAAACCAAGACAAAAGCAGCAATCTCAAGGGCTTATCTCAATAGACACAACCGGAAGTCGAACAAGAAGAAGCCACTGCCAATCGCTGCTTTGCCAGCAAAAAGGCGCAGTCCAGACAGGCGGCGAGAAGGGCGAAACAGGGAGATTAAGTACCGTCTCAGCCAAGACCGACAACAGCTAACCCAGCCTCGTCCATGAGCCAGCACCTCACCCTGACCCTCGCCTACTGAACCTAGACCCCGGCGACCAACTATGGAGAAGAAGCAAGTCCGTTGGCCTACGCGCGAACAGGTCGAAGCATCAGCAAAGGGGACAAAGGGCTGCGCCGCCATGGACGAGCGACGGAGGCCATCTGCTGACGGACCCTGATGACCGGCGAGGGAGTTTCTACCGGCGAATAGAAGAGGCGGAGCTGCTAGGGTTACGGGGCGATATTGGGGGAGAGACGAGAGCTTTTTTTTTTTTTAACCGACTCCAAAGATAGCTCCAGAGCACGGAAACAACCGGCCGCCACTGCATAAGGCCTAGCAAGACGGATTCCAGTACCCCAGGACCAACCGAAGAGCTAGCCCGCACTCCAATCCGTGAATAAACAACACGGCTCGGCTTCACCGAGTCAGCCTGCCATAAAGAGCACTCGCTCACCCTGCCCGAATCAGCTGAACACAACTAATCAACCGAGCACTTACCGGAAGCAGCACCCTGACCCCAGCAGTAACTACGACCCCAACCGAGAACCCATAAATCCAGCTCGACAAGGACGAACTGAGAGATTCTTCCGATCCCAGACAAAATAGAAAATCGAGACAAAAACAACAATCTCGAGGGCTTACCTCCAATAGAAACAACCGGGAGTCGAACAAGGAGAAGACACTGCCAATCACCGCTTCGCCGGCGAAAAGGCACAGTCCAGACAAGCGGCGAGAAGGGCGAAACAGGGAGATTAAGTACCATCTCAGCCAAGACCGACAACAGCTAACCCAACCTTGTCCATGAGGCAGCACCTCACCCCGACCCTCGCCTACTGGACCTGGACCCCGACGACCAACTATGGAGAAGAAGCAAGTCCGTTGGCCTACGCGCGAACAGGTCGAAGCATCAGCAAAGGGGACAAAGGGCTGCGCCGCCATGGACGAGCGACGGAGGCCGTCCGCTGACGGACCCTGATGACCGGAGAGGGAGTTTCTACCGGTGGAATAGAAGTGTTTTTTTTTTTAGTTTTTTCAATTTATGGAATTTGTTGTTGTTATTGAAAAAAAAAAGAGTTTTATCAATACAAGACCCGAAAGATGGGTAAATTATCAATGCGGGACCTGAAAGATTTTTTTCTCAATTCGGGACTTAAATGTTATAAAACTATCAAATTAAAGACCTGAAAGCTGGGTAAATTATAAATGCGGGGCCTGAAAGATTTTTTTTCTCAATTCAGGACTTAAATGTTATAAAATTATCAAATTAAGTTTAGAATTAACAAAACTCATAACACCATTAAATTTAGAGTTTAAAAAAAAAAAACTCTAGATGTAATAATTAAAAAAAAATAAATCATAACACCATTAAGTTTAAAATGTAATAATTAAATATAATTTTTTTTAATCTCTAGATTTAATGGTGTTATGAGTTTTTTTAATTCTAAACTTAATTTGATAGTTTTATAACATTTAAGTCTCGAATTGAGAAAAAAAAATCTTTCAGGCCCCGCATTGATAGTTTACCCATCTTTCAGGTCTTTAATTTGATAGTTTTATAACATTTAAGTCTCAAATTGAGAAAAAAATCTTTCAGGCCCCACCTTGATAGTTTACTCATCTTTCGAGTCTTGTATTGATAAAACTCCTAAAAATATAATAATTGATAATATACGTATGTATTTTTGTTAAAAAAAACTCGGCTCTTCATACAAGAATTTGTGTTTTTAATTTTATAAAAGTGGTATTGTATTGTGAGTTTCACTTTCATAATCCAAGTTATAATTTAGCTAACTCATACTATTATAAGCAGAGAGTATAGTTCAGGGGACATTGCCCATTCAACTTCATATTTTTTATAAACTTGGAAAATATTTTAATTATTAAATTTGTGATTCTTGATTACATACGTGCTAAATCTAAATGTATTTTGCCAAAAAAAGAAAAAAAAAACAATTAAACAAATGGTCCTCACAAAAAGAACAAGTTTTTAGTATTTTTTTCTTGGTCTGGTCCGTTATGAGAAAAAAACATACACTAAATGCACAATTAATGACTTCATTTATGGAATTAAATACAGATTACAAGAAAAAATTACGTGGGGTGAATAACAGTAATAATAAATTTTAACCTCCTTTACTATGTGCATGTTACAAATCACCTCATTGAAAGTTGAAATTAAAGGTTAATTTCCTAGTTTAGTCTGTGGCGTCTATTTCTTGATCTTTGCTCTTTCTGATTTTTTTATTTTTTTTATTATTTTTGTCCTGAATCGATAATATATATATATATA